GGGGCGCTCTGGCGCGAGGCGTTTCGGTGGCATACCTCTCACCAGAGAGGGCTTATACGTTGTTTTTGTCCATACAAATTGTTAGCTCTCAATCAACTAAGGCAGCTGCTTCCATGTTCTGTGTGCGCTCTTGCTTCGAAAGTAGCTATGCTAACAGTTAGGTCGCGATAACAACAAACTACAGTACGCACCACACACTTTCCAATCGAATCGTAGAGTAGTGACGGGGTACTGGAAATAGGGACCATTCGTGATCATACCATTAGTACGTCACACGAATAACTGAAATACTTCATGCCACTTCCTAAGCTGCCTGCCAGTGCCATGAAGGCGAAGAGCACATGTAGAACGGCTTCTAAACCTGGGCAAGTATCAAAATAACAATGTTACAAGATAACGGACATTCGAAAATGGTCTCATACCATTACACCTGTGTGGTTATATCTAAACACCGAGCGCCCATCCAAGCAACAACAATAAATGCAAACATCATGAAAGGCGCGCCACGGGTGCGTGAACACCAGGATGACAAAACAGCAAACAACCATCAACTTAAAAAGGATCGAGAAAGTAAGAAATTTGTGATCCGAGCACCTAAGGAGACAGGGCCTGACGAACTCGGAAGACCAACAAAACCAAATCCAACTGCGCCTTAAAATAAAACGATGCCCGTGGAAGGAAAAGGATCCTATAAGTGTTGCGACATAATAGCGGCCGTACACGGCTGCTAGTGATCACTTCGCGGCCGATACGCCTTGGATGTAATTGCAGCACAGGATAATGTTGAGGCTGAGAACCACACGATGCCCAGACGTGGTCGGGCTGCAGCCAAGCTCGTAACAGTTTACTCATGAGATCTCATCCACAGACAGGTCGGTATCCGTGATGCCAAAATGAACAGCATTTTTCTTCGCCCATTGGCGGGTAATCAGTGACGCTGGTTTCGTTAGTAAAACGGCTATAAAGTATATTCCGCCAAACAGGGATCGTGTTCGCTACCGTCATAAAGTAGGATATACAGCGGGTATTGGGTTCGGCTATTCGTAAACAGTACCTTTCAAATATTTCTTACTAGCATATTTCTTGAAGAAAGCTTCGTGCGTAGAAGGGCGAGCGAGGTAGTCAACCATAAGAATGGCAACCGGCTCGATATCATCCTCGGTATAACCTGCATAAAAGGACAACGTCGCATCCTAAAGTCTGTTAGCCAGGAAACAATTTGGAACAATATACAAGCAGAGTGTTTCCCAGCCATAATAACTCCATTGTATGTACACTGGCAAACAAGCTGCATGTATCAGGCGGATCTAAAAAACATACCCACTCGCCCCGGTCCAATATCAGACGGGCAAGAAACATAGCCGCCGCAGCAACATGGCTGGGACGATACGACATGAAGCGGTGATCCAAAAGGCTGATTTCAGTCAGGTACTTTGCAACCGTGCGCGTCTGTATGTCGTAGTTGTCGGCTTTCGATACCCGACGGAGAAAGTTCATAGGGTTGGGATAACTGAGATCATAGTTGAGGGTGCCAAGCATGAACCGCTCGGCACTCAAAATTTCAGCCTCAGTGAAGCCATCATCTGCAACATGGCGGAAACTGCCGACGGAAGGAGACAGCACTTCCTCGTACTTGGCCGCAATGAACATGGCAGTAACCCCGACGAGCTGTAGTCTATCGAGCTGGACAACCTTGGCGGACAGGAAACGGTCGACGATATTGACAGCAAGAAAAAGAGTTTCCGGTAGAAGGTGGAAGCGGGTATGCACTTCGACTAACCAGTCAACTAGCACACCTCGTGTCTTCCAATCAAGCTCGTCCTGGTGGTTCATGTAGCGCGGGTTGGGCAAGGAACCGCATTCCAAGTCACGCAGGTACTCGAAAATGTCCGCTGCGTACTCAGCGACCATCTGTGGATCGTCCAAGTCCTCGCTGTCCAGATCCTTGACGCCTTCGGGATAGACGAAGTCAGTCGGCACGAACTCTTCAATTGTGTCGTTGAGCGGTAACGAAGGCTCCTGTTCTCTGGTGCTGTCACTGGTTGCAGGCTCCTCAAGCCGGGACGTGACGGTATGTGCCTTTTTGCGGACTGGCTCCTGGTCCTCAGTAGGCGCGTCGTCCTTAATGGTAGCCACGGAAGCCGATGCGGTAGCAACTTTTCTCTTCTGTACGGTGCCAATCGTTCCGTGTCCAGATTTCTTAGCATCGGTCGTCTTCTTGCTAGCCTCCTTCGTTGAAAGGGCTGTACGACCTGTAGAACGAGACGTATTCTTCTGGATGCCTGTAGGCTGTGCTGCCTTTGACACAAGTCCAGCTTTACCGGCAACCTTCTTCGCCTCTGCCACCTCGACCTTGGTGACGTTGCTCACGTCACCCAGTGCTGCCCGCTTTCGCAGGCCAGCGGGTTGGGCACTAGCAACCTGAACGGCCTTCTTGGGTTGTAAAGGCTTGGCAGGTACATTCAGTTCATCAACATGGAGCGAGGCCGCCTTCGCGCGGGTTATACGCGCAGCTGCTGAACTGTTCTCGTCATTCTCATTCGTCGCGAGACGCTGTCTAGCAGGACGTCCCTGTATAACGTTAGTATATCCTTCCGACATACACTGTGTGTCCTTTTCGCGCCATTGCTACTCACAGGCGGCATTTTTGCTTGTATTTAAAGGGCGCTCTACAGAGAACGTTGTGATGGACTCTGCCAAGTTGTCTCACGCGTTTCTGGAACGATAGATATGCTGTATGAACATATGTTAGCCAGTGCCGCGTGATTTCCATGTTTGGCATCCATCATGACGAATACAAGGTCGTTACGAAACGCGTGACGTACAGACTTCGATTGGAGAGGGGCGCGGATACACGATCAAAGCGATATAGCCAGACCAGTGCTGAGGTTGTCAAGGATGCAGAGACGTGATACGTCAAGCCGTGATCTGATGGCAGAACCTTGGCAATGTGTTTTGTTGAGTACGCGTTTGTGGTAGGCGAAGCGCGTGTGAAAAGGAGAGTTGCGGAGCTAGAAAAGAGAGGCAACAAGCCAAAAACGATGAGCGAGCGAGCATGTGCCGACGAGGGTGAACGCCGTGAGAAGGAAAGAAGAAAGAGAGCAGAGTCTAAGAAGAAGTGGCAGAGGAAGAAGAAGAGAAAAGAAATAAAACTAAGACGTAAAGGCTCAGCTCGGTACGGAGAGGACGGGCAGAATGTATGTTTTTGGTGCTAGTGGAGTCAGTAAGAAAGGTAGACAGAGATGTCCAAGTATTATTAGGGAGCAGACAAAAATCTGGCACATATGGAATGGTGCGTATGTGTATGGAAGCAGGTTGATTGAAGTGTTTTTGTTGTGCAACATGGAGTATTTCTGAGCCCGTCGCGTAGGCTCGGGACAGCGCAAGCACGGTTGTCTCGTGGAGCGTGCCAGGTCACAAATGCTCCACTAGCAATTCGCGTAAGTTGCGTGACCTTGGAGTTGGGAAGGCACGTCCACAATCCACCAGGCTATTGGGATGGTGCAGAGACACCCCCTGGGGCAATAGCGCGACATGGCTCTGTTTTCTCTGGAGCAGCGAGGACGAACATAGTCGTCGTTGCCGGGCCAGGGAGTGTAAAACAACTATTACGGGGCATGCTCATCTGCTGAGAGGACTACAAACCGCCGAGAGAAAGGGTGCCTGCACCGTGACCAATCACCCAACCGCGGACAAGAGGTGTAGGGACAGAATGGCTGGACGGTCGTTCCCGTTTCGAACTAAGTCCCTAGTCGTAAGGTACGGTGACTACGGAGTCCTCTGTACATAAATACATTCGACGAACAACGATGTTCAACACAATGTTCATCGTGGATTAACTTTATAATCTCATCAAGCTTGTATCGACATTGCAAAAACTAGACTCTCAAGTTCCTAGACTGTGGGCAAAATTTCATATGGCAAGGAAGAACGACATGTGAGGGAATTGCTTCAGAGGCAGGGGAGAGACCTAGAGGGAGTGACCAGCAAGGGGCTGGCCCAAGTGGACTACTGGAGACCGAAACAGGTCTTACAGAATATTACTCCAGAAGATTGTGTCAATAAAGGGAGACGGACAGAGGTGGACATAATTGTGGTGCGTGCCAGCCTACACATAGCACACTAAGCATCTTAGGAAAACATCTGTCGCCTGCTTCTGGCGGGACGCGTTTGAAAAGCGGGACAATCCAAGGTTGCATCGGCAAGCAACCCACTATCAACAGTGGCAACCGCACAGCAACGAAACTTTTATTGGCTGCGTCCCTTTTTAATCCGGGCCTAAATATTGACCTGACGATTGGGTCGTGGCTCGTCGCGTTAGATCCACCGTCTTGATGTGTGGCTGAAGCGGGCCGGATTAACCTCTAATGCGGCCGGGCTCTTTTTTTTTTTTTCTGTGACAGGGGATCTAGCACGGCGACATGTCACTGGACAACACAGGTATGGCTTTTGACAGCTGCTGGAACGACGGCCTGTTGTGGCATGCTTATTCGCTCTGAAAACTTCTCGACACAACGCCACGCCTTTCCCATCACTAAGAGTTAGATGCGGCCGGGTCTCTCTGGTATCTTCTTGTCACCCAAAGAGCCACGGCCGAGTATCATGCTCCAGACCCGGCTCCGGTCTTTCGCCGGCCGCATCCGCGAGGCCACTAGCTTGTCTTGCAGCTTCACAAGAAGTCTCACGACGTCGGCCACAGCCGGGACCGCGACCGGACCCGAGCAGCAGGATGTGGCGGGAAGTTCTTTCTCTATACCGGCCACCCCGGTTGTAGAGAGGACGGCAGCCATTCTTCGAACTTACAAACCGCGGACACCGGGTGTCCGACATCTGAAGCGGCCCATCAACGACCACCTGTGGAAAGGTCGACCTTTTCTACCATTGACGTTTCCCAAGAAGGGACACGGGAAGGGCGGCCGCAACAACCAGGGCAGGATAACGGTGCGGCACAGGGGCGGCGGCGTGAAGAGGCGTATCCGCATGGTCGACTTTGAGCGGTGGGCGCCGGGTGCCCACCTTGTCGAGCGCATCGAGCACGACCCGGGACGAAGCGCGCACATTGCTTTACTCACTAACCAAGCTACGGGTCAAAAATCTTACATTGTCGCGGCAGAGGGAATGCGCGCGGGGGATATTGTGCAGAGCTACCGTGAAGGTATCCCACAAGATCTTCTGGACGTCATGGGCGGTGCTGTGGATCCGGGAATCCTTGCTGCGCGGACAGCGCATAGGGGCAACTGTCTCCCCCTGCACATGATTCCCATTGGTACTGTCGTGTACAATGTCGGATCGCAGGCAGACAAAGGCGCCGTCTTCTGCCGCAGCGCCGGTACTTACGCAGTCATCATAAGCAAAGAAGAGATGTCAACAGGTGACAACACCCAAGAAGGTAGCAGTCGTTTTGTGCAGGTGCGGCTACAGAGCGGAGAGGTACGCCGAGTGAGCAGGCATGCGTGTGCAACCATCGGCGTTGCCAGCAATCCGCACCATCAAGACCGCCAGTTGGGCAAGGCCGGCCGCAGCCGCTGGTTAAACATTCGGCCGACGGTGAGGGGCGTGGCGATGAACAGAGGTCAGCCCAGACCCCAAACTCGGCTAACCAGCCCTCGGTTGTAAATGTGCTATTGCTAATATGCTTGTGAGTGTTACAGTTGACCATCCGCACGGTGGCGGTCGCGGCAAGTCAAAGAGTAATCGACACCCCACAAGCCCATGGGGCACACCGGTACGTATCCTTTTACTACTCCCGTTGTGTCTGCCATTCTCCGATCGTGCTGCCGCGTCGAAGTTTCCAGCTAACAAAATGGACAGGCCAAAGGGGGGTTCAAGACGAGAAGGACGCATAACATCAACAGATGGGTCATTACGCCTCGCCCGCGAAATATGGGCCGGCGCCGGAGCAAGGGGGGCTCCGAGTAGGGCAGTTGAGAACAGTATAGCAACATTGTTTGAACGTTGCAACAGATTTGGCCTGTTCGTTTTACGCGAGAAATGTTTCCGGAGCATTTGTATATATTATTTTAAGATATTAGGCAAAGACATACCCTTATGGCCACGCGCTCGGGTACGTACGGTTTACTAAAAACATATATACGTTACTGAATGACACTGAATACGCGGGCCTTGTTAATAATACATTTAAAGCCTTCTCCATACTAATCGTCGATGGTGTTTGGACTTTTATTACAAATGTATTCTCATCCGACAGATCCTTTTTCTTTTAAGCCGCACGTTGTCTGTGTTACCGAGCTACATGATGATGTCAACCCGTCAGTTGCACTGCCAGCACTTTTTTCGCGCGCTATATCAAAAGTAATTCATACGGAGCGGACTAAAAACAAGTTCTGGGCGTCCCACTGCAAAAATGAACAGTTTTTGCGCTAGAGGGATATGTGTACTACAAAGTCCCTTCTTCTGCGCAAAGTAAATAGTGGGGATTTTACAGGGGCCCATGCAAAGCCGGGACTCAGCCGCGCTAGGTTGATCTAGACCATGAGACCATCTTCCAATCCTGTTCAAAGAGTGACCAAGCCCGTCGAGCATCACGCTCTCCATTTCCACATTCGAAATATGTCGGATTAAAGCGCATCGTAATTCTTCTTGCATGTATAAATACTCATAATACACCTAATTTTTACATTCCATCACGCGCTAGAAAGTGGCTCGTACGCCGTCCAGTTTCATTTCACACCGAACATCGCGTAACCTATAGTGACTTCAGCTCTCTCCACGCCCTGTCGCCGTCTTCTTATATATAGTAAACACATCGTACACTTTCTTCTTTTCTTACTGTTTTTTTTTTCTTTCCTTGCCCTTTCTCTCTCAAATCATCGTCCCTGATTCATATTCGCCAAACTCCCCGCCAACCCGACAAAGCTCGCCCGAGGCATCCCATGCCAGACATTAGTACTGCACCCCTCATCACACGCGCTTCATCGCCTTCCCATCCATATCCCCAAACGGGCACGCATTATCCGGGCCAAAGCCCGGTGCTAGGTGTCCAAATGGCCAACTCCAACCGGTGGGGGCCACGCGCGGGGCACGCTTCCGCATGGGTTGTCGCATCTGGCGTTGTCGACTGGCTTCTCGTCGTGGCCACAGCCATTGGTGGCTTCTACCTTGGCAACATTACGCCCACCAAGAGACCCTTCCAACTTGAAAACCCGGATATTTCGTGAGTGCCCTCTTCTATCCATTGGGCCCTGTTTTGTCTTCATAAACGCTCGCCACTCATGTTCACTGGCTCACTGGCTCAGGTTTCCATATACGATCCATGAAACTGTCAGCACACGAAATCTAGTCATTGCCACTGTCGTTGCCCCTGTGGCCACAATTATCGTTGTGTCGCTTATCTCAATCCCTGGCTTATCTGTTCCTCCAGGCACGCCGCATGCCCTCTTGTGGCGACGCAAGTTATGGGAGCTATATGCCTCGTTGCTCTCATATGCTCTGGGCATGGCAGCACAGTGGTTTATTATCAACGGGTTGAAAAACATATGCGGCAAGCCACGGCCAGATATGCTCGCTCGCTGCCAGCCAGACATTCTGAACGTGGCGCAGTACGTCGTGGGTGGTATTGCAAACATAACTTCTAATGGCCAGCTGGTCAGTGCCGATATATGCACCAACAAGGACGCGTCTGTTTTGAATGACGGCTTTCGCAGTTACCTGTCTGGCCACAGCTCTTCCTCGGCGGCTGGCTTGGGATATGTCGCGCTTTTTCTAGCCTTTAAATTCGGCGTCGTCTTCCCATTTACTACTCTACCAGCCGATAGAGAGACTTCAGCTCTTGTCGCGTCAGCATTTCCAAGCCGTAGCCCCTTTACAAGTCTCCAACAGGACATGTACGAGCTCCACGACACCGGCCGCCCCGGTCTCCTCGATGGCCACTCTCTCATATCCGGACATACTCGGACCCGCAAAGATGACAACCGCCAACTTCGCGCTTCGCCAAATGGTACAATGCTGTCTACAAGGCGGTCCGGAGCTGCCCCACCACTCTATCTTCTTGTGGTTGCACTTGTCCCATTTTTCGCATCCATATTTATTGCTGCCTCTCGCTGGTTCGACTTTAGGCACCACGGCTTTGACATCTTATTCGGGTATGCAATTGGCACTGTGACAACACTGGTTTCGTTCCGCATGTACCATCTTCCATTGAGTCGAGGAGCTGGCTGGGCCTGGGGCCCCCGAAGTGCCGACAAAGCTTTCTGGGCCGGCGTCGGAAGTCACAGCTGGGCGGTACCCTGGGAGCATTTGGCCGCACGTACACATGGTGCCGAAAGCGACTACGAATCGGCGGTACCTCATAATACTGGATCATCCGAAGCTCCCCTGTCACGAAGAGATACTGCCTCGCGCAGAAGGGCAGCCCATGAGGCAGCTAGTAACAGTGGCCTTGGTGACGACCTGGGAAACGCGGTCTAACCATGGAAAATCACTTGCCTTGTTTTGTTCGTCGCTCTATGAGAAGGGAAGGCATTGACTTGGCATGTGCAAGTGGTCACTTCATTCAACCCCGAAAAGCCATTGTTAGTATCGCAGTGATAAATGACGGTGGAAAACACTCGGGCATTTCAATAGTTAATAGAAACATCAGTGCAGACACCTGTCCGTCGAAGGTCCGGTAGCACATTACTAGCAATGTAAAAGAACACAATGAAGATGAAAGTTCTACGCTAAATACAACAAACAAAAACCCATGTCGACCAAGTGCATCTTCACCGAAATACACCCATACGCCCAGTACTTCCAACAGATAAGCGACAACAAAACGGCAAAGAAACAAATTAGTGCGCAGAAATATCTACTGTTCAATCATATTACCATGGCGCCCGTGTTGGATACATGATGGTCTCGGTTATCGCGTGACTGGTCGTCTTCCTCTTCCTCCTCCTCATCTTCAATATCTTCGTATTCGCCATCCTTGAAACCACTCTCGATTTCTTGTCGTCGAAGTCTCCGCCTCATGTCGTCCCTCATAGTATTTTGCCACCGAATAAGGGCAGCAGAAGCGTGCACCTTGAAGCCATACACCCGAGGTATGTACCGTTCGGCTGTCTTCGGGGGGATTAGAGCAGGGTAGACTTGAAAAAGAATGTTGTGGAAGGAGGTCCCAAAATAAGCACCGTCGATAACGGCATGGCGAGTTGATTTCGGATTGTATATATCTTCGCACCGACCACAGTACAGCTTGACGGGCCGCACATTTGGGATATCCGATAAGCCCATGGGGAGGAGTGGATGGGAGTGGCAATTGACACGAGGGCATTTCCCGAAATCTGACTTTTTGTATTTTTCCAGCTATAAGGAAGTGAAAAAAAGTAAAGAAAGCGGATAAGGTTAGCCACGTTCCTGAGCACGCAAGGCATCGAGATGCTATAAATTGGCATAAAAACACGATGAAAAGAATAGAGGGTGTAAATGAAGCACCGAATCAAAAGGTAGGCAGGAGAAGGAAACAGCAAATACCATTTTAGCAAGACCCCGGGTTGTCACGATATAGCGCGCGTGGACGAGGCCGTAGAGGTGCCGAGCAGATTTTTCGATGGTTTCACGCATTTCGTCATCACAGTCGAGGTCAAAAACGTCGGTAACGAGGTCGAGCGCATATTGGTAGTATTGCACTTCTGTGTTCAGCCCCGTCAGGTTGAAACGATCTGTGAGATAGTCTTCGTCAATCTCGCAGAAATATTCATTTCCCCGGGACGATATGAACTAGGCTCGGAAGTTAGCAGTTAGCAGGAAACTACGATCGTAGCGCAACGCAATGGGCTGAAAGTTGTTCGTGACGAAAGAAAAAGTGACAGGAAGAAGGCCGGCATGCGGAACAACCGCTGCGCCAGCATTGGAAACTGCAAGTTGCAATACGAACCCAATCCCGCCAGTAGCTTGTGTACTCGCTGTCCGTCTCGCTCACAAAGTCTTCCATGGCTGCAGATTAACAAACGACTTTCCGTCCACCTTGTTCTCGAGGCAGTAACGCGGGTAGCCCATCAAAGTCATGAGTCTCGAAATTGACATCCGTGATGTTTGTGGGCGGGGCAAAGAGCGGAGCCATGTTGACTAATGATCCAGATGTGGCGCAGTTTCAGCCACGGTTTAGGAAAGGTTCAGGTTTCTGAATCCAATATTTTAACCACTGCGAATTGGTTCGCTCCTCGTCAAGTGGAAATGGAGTATGGACTCTTTCAGACCGCAATTGCCTGCTGATAAGTACATCTTACTAATTTCACCGAAACATGCCATAATTATTTTATACTCTTATTACCCCCTATGATAGCGACGCAATCTCCCCGATTGTCTAGACCATGCATTATTTTCCTTTCGTTGCTTTCGGCCGTTGACCACTTGTACAATTATGCCGGTCCTCGTAATGCGTACGTTATTTAAATGTACGAAACTTAGGTCATATATATCACAACTGTTGCTTCTAGGGATAACAGGAAAGTGGTTACAAATTGGAAGTCACCCTCGTTTCAAGATTTTGTCAGCCAAACGATGAGCGCCTTCTAGATGTCAAATGTTCGGGGTCAGCAACATAACCGCCGATGTCCACGTAAGTTTCGCGTACCCCGTTAAAAAAACAGGTATATTATGGTTGCCGAGAGTATAAGAAACAGCAAAGACTAAGAAAACCTAAAAGTTAAATAGCTACCCAGTTTCATTTTGCCCGTGTGCTGGATAATTCAAAACGAAGGATCTCATACCTCCGCGATGTAATTACGACGTGCTTCGTACCAAGAACATTAGCTCATGTAATCATGGGCTGTAGCTGTATTACTTGCGTCTTATACCGTATTTATTAACCCGTCTCGTTCATATCTACATTGGAGCTCACCATCAAATGCGGTTGCGGCCGTTGTAGCTTCAAGGAAATGAATGGAAAATAATGAGCTTTCCGGACAGGAACGGTTACTTCACATGAGATTACTCTTTTGTAAATAATAGGATACGGCGTGCTCGGTATTAGTCGATTCTGTGTATGCAACTCTACTCTATGCAAGAAATCATGTGTCGCAATGGTACTCGCTACTTGCAGGGCAGTCATCGCTACTGCCTAAAAAGTATTTAAGCCCTTAAAGCATTCAGCCTTGGTTCTGGGGTGAGTGGTGGCCACTTCCATGACAAGGCGAGGGAACGGCAGGCAGGCAGACCATCGAGACATCCTTGCTCTGTCTACCGTTGTGATATCCGGCATGACAACCAAGTGCGCTCCCCTCTCCCCTCTCCCTCGCTTGCTCTATCGTTCTTCACCGTCCTACTTTATCGCTCTCACCCGCCACACTCCCTTTCTCCCGCGCTCTCACTTTCTTATTCGATACACTTCTTGTATCGCCTCGTCAAATTTGACCGTAGTAGATATTTCCTGCAAAAGTTGTAGCTAACAACTGCCCCTCCGAGGACACCTCTCTCACTTCTGATGCGCGATCGCTCACTCTTCTACATTCTAAACACAGCCTTCATACCAACCAGTCCGTAAACCCGGTCTTACCCCGTGTCAGCCACTATGGTCTCCGCACCTTCACCGGGCCCGTATTCACCGACCGTTAACATTCTGGATACTGAGGCTTTAGAAAACAACCACAGGGTAGCCGGTGCGGTGACACGGAAGATATTTGACTAAATGAGGCCTGTCATCCTGCGCATCATGTAAGCTTCACTCCTGTGCTGTTGGTTTGACGGTCGCAAACAGTAGGTGGTAATCGCACATAATTTACGCGCTCCACTAACGTTCGGCGACAGATATGATCGCGTCCCGAATAGGCCCTTCGCCGACAAAGGAACGGAATGTGAAAGCTCGAGGATTACCTTTCCATAACATGCAGACTACGCTGCTGACGCTAATATATCTCCCGTGAATGTCCCGGCTCCAACGCGGCCTTCGGCTTCGGCGCCGGTGGAACACCTCATTCAGCACACACTCCCCGTTCTTAAACATCTCCAAAAGCAACTATGTCAATCCAAGAACCAGCGGCCGCAACCTGCTCTCGCCGCGTCCGTCTTCGCTCATTCTCTTTTGTTCTGCCCAAGGTCATCATAACAGCCTTCCCTCGCGTGTCTCCTGTGAATGAATACGACTTCTAATGCCCCTGACCAGTCTGAGTACCGCCGTATGATCAACAATTCAAACGCCATTCATGGCCTGGGATTCACGGGGCTCACAATGTCAACGAGTCCTGACCGTGGAGCAAGAGTGGATTCAGGGCTTCCGGTATTTCATCATTAAAAACACCTAGTAAATATCACAGCTCAACTTGAAAACCTGCGCTATAAACTGCAAATGCTGCACAAGTTTGCTGAAGATAATCGTGAGTAGTTACCCAGAATTATCTCTTCACGTTCTTTCCCTCTTTGTCTTTACTCTTGCCTCAGTGGAAATAAAGCATTTGATTCGTTTCTCGCTCCAGATCCCACAGACAACATTCCCATACTTCCCGAGGCAGAAGAAGCAAGACCGGTGCAGTATCAAATCGAGTGTATCGAGACTGTATGCTCAGATCGAGGTATGCTTGCCCCAACAAGTCTCATATTGACCGTATATTGCTTCACTTTGCCTTCATCTTGGTCGCTCATGTGCTTCACCTACCAGGTTATTAGCCCCACGAGAGGCATGAATTGCGCATACGGTCCTTCTCTCTACGAAGCGAAGCCTCTGCTGGCTTCGTCGAGTGTCTGAAAAATATCAATATGTGCTACGATCCAGCCGTACGTGTTTGGAGCCAATGGGAAAGGTTAGCGTCAAGACGAGCGGCCACAATCACTAACGATGTGTTCACGAGACCTGCGCCCACTACATGTACGGCTTCCCACAGAAATCCGAGCTTGATCAGCACTCTAGGACACACCCCTTACATGCCAAGCGTAACTATAAGCTCTCCGGGGGTGTGGTTGGCTGGTATTCCACTATATTCGGAACCACCGCACGGCCAGTCATCGTCAAGCATTCTGAGCCGCCCCTCGCATACACAACTTCCTGCCGTCGTATCAAGTTGTGGTAACAAAACGACGTTGCCATCTCGACCGGATTCGATACAGGGTGCAAGTTGGCGCGACTCCTCGGGTACCTTCTGCTTCGCTCCCCAGCTATCAGGTCATGCAAGGAACCAGGACTCGGCGTCTATGAAAGTGAAGGTCGACCCTTTGCTGCCACCTCTTAAATGCAGCCGTGTTGGTCCATCTAGACTTAGATCGATAAGTGAACTGTTATTGTTGCGTGCAGCCGACACCTGTCTTCGTTGTAAGACATTAGAGTTGGAGGTATGCACGACATGCATTTCGTGGTCTTATACACCCTGAGACCGAGAAACAGAGATTTGGACAAAGGGTACAATGGGCTGGTACGGGCTTCCCTTCGGCCAAACTGTAAAATTATAACCGCCGTTTTGAAATATGCCGTTCCAAGAATTGCGTCAATAGAAGGCCAACCTGATGATAACAAGTGCGATTTTGGGACTGCTTGCTCCTCTTGCCACCCAACCAACCCAAGGCATGATGAGCTTGTCTTTTGGAAACCTTTGCATGTCACCGGGAACCGCTTAGCAACTTTGCCGACATACTTGTTCCAGGTGAGGCCTCATCAGCCACCCAGCAGGCACTATCTTCAGGTCTACCAACATATCTTCCGACTCTGTAGCCATTGCCACGCGGACGAGAAGCCTACTGTGAAAATATGTAGCACTGCCACCTTCGGGACTCATGTCATTGAAATGACCAGCACCAGTATTGATGCTGCTTGCATCCAGCCGTAATGTGGTCGGTACCTCGTATAAATTCTAGCAACTTTCGAAACCGAAACTTAGTGGCCTCCTATCATCAGGAAGCAGACAGTCCCAATCCCAGACATTCCCTCTCTTTACCGATCCAAGTTTCTTCTAAGGAACATCTCGTTCTTTGCATTTCAGCTGCCCGGACCGCCAGTTGCGTTTGCTACACTTTTACTCCTCAGCTCCAAAAGCGGCATGCGAGCAAGGGAGCGCAGTCGCCATAGTGTTGTACGCACCTGCATGATCCAGTATCTCGAGTCACTTGAAGTTCTCATGGCGAAGGAGAACACGGTGAGCACAAAACAGTAGCGGGCTGTATTCTTCTCCATGTGCATCTTCAGCGTCGCAAAAGTTGTTCTTGTCAAAATGGCCTCGGTTAGACATCGCGGTATTGAGCCGATGTAAGAGAGGCTTGCATCACGTATCTGCGACCACATGCACGCTGCATGTAAAGCGTCGGTGGCAATATTTAAGAATCAGCTCCCATCACTTCTCAACGATGACAATGAAACCCTACTGGATGAGGACTGGGAACTCTACAATACCACATCTTTGATTGTCAAGAGGCGTACTTGGAACGACAAGGGCATCCTATCCATGTCCTCATTCCCGATGCCACTAGGCAGCATGGATATCAGCGGCGGTGTTTTGCATGGCTCTGTACGACCGGTCGCGCTTACAATATCCTACAAAGCTTACAGCAGACTATGCTGAAAACGTATTCTCTCGTCAATCTATACAACCACACGTAGAGAAATACGAGACTCCATACGTTCATGTGACTCAACCTTCAGGTGTCTCGCTCTAAGATATTGAAAACAGTTCATGCTATTCTTTTTGTGTTCGGGGTTCCACGCTCCCTATATAGGAGGAAACGAATAAATCGCCATCCCGGAGATTGCCGCCGGTCAAGCGTAATGCAGGTCCTGCAATGACTGTTCCGAAGGGTTTCTCGGTGAGCACGAGCTAAAGCGACCTACAGATGCAAGCCACACGAATGTTATAAAGAGGTGGACCTGTACAGAGCCTGAAAACACCTCAGCGGCGGCCGCGTGGCGGCCTGCTATATCCCTATCAAAATGCAAAGTATGCGTGGCAAGGACAAAATACGGCGCGTACTATAACGTAGCAGCACATCTACGCCGAGCTTGCTTCGGCCCTTCCAAGATCGAGGGAACAAACAGCGAGTGCCTCCAATAACAGTCCTCCTACATTGAATGCAAGAGGTTGGGCATGCCGCCGGGACGTGGGACGATTTACTCGTTGCTGATGGCGAATTTGAATGCAATTGCATATCTGCCACCGACATACCGCCAAGTTCACACTTTCATCCCTCTCCTCACCGCGACGCATCCCAATTTCTCTCTCGACCGCGATATAGCCTCTAGTGGTCGTGATGTACATGTTACGACTACGTGAGGCGTGCCTGGTTTGTAGACCGGCCTAGCACGTCCGTCGATTGGTAAGGTCTTGACTCACATCTGCTAGAGTATGATGGGTATGAAAGATGAACATTGTTTATATAAGTGCGCTGGGGACATGCTTCGCCCAAATGACATAACAAACAAGTACATGCGCCCCCTAAAGTCCATGTTGAATGCTCGCCTAAATGCGTAAACTGATATCTACCGATTGATCGAGAACCACGCCTAGTGTCAGATAGGTACAGTACTTTGTGTAGAAGCCCTGGTCTGCAAACTGCCTGTTGCTACCGAGCTCCCTCCGTTGTCTTCTTCGTTTTCCTGCGCCCACCGTCTCTCGCGCAGGGGCATATCAACGCCCGAAGCAGCCCGCTCACCATTGACCTCAGCTTTCCAGGCCCAGTACTCCGACAAGCGGGCCTCTGCATATGTGGCATAATCAAAATCAATGTCTGATATCGTCGCCTGGATAAGTGCCCATATGCCCCAGTAAAAGCCTGGCACGCCGCGAAATACATCGACCTCTTCGAGCATTCTTGCCTTCTCGGTCTCTAGGTGGAAGGGCTCGGAGCCATGGGGCGCTAGCTGTCGTAACTTCGCGTATACGTTAATGTATTCGTCTATGAAGGCACGACGCTGCTCAACAGTAGGTAATACATTCATATTGCAGTCAAAACCACCCCACTCTGCGAAATGGTTCGCAATATCAAACGCGGCTGGGGCGGGAACGGCATATTCGTAGTCTATAAATGTGACTTCGACAGGTGGCCCATTCGTTGCCTCTGCGCTGGCGGGTAGGATAATGATATTACCACTTAATAAGTCGTTATGCGCAAAAACAAGTCCGTCCTTGCCAAGTCCGGAACGGTGGCTAAGGCTCGCCACCAGGCTTTTGAGTTCCGCTTGTAATACCGCTATACGCTCCCGGCAGACGGCCGTGTCTGCTGGCAATGCAAGTATCCATTTCTGCATGACAGTCCAGATGTTCGGCTCGAGTTTGCCCTGCGCGATGGGCGTACCCGCATTGGGTGAAACAGAGGCGACCGCGATTGTTGAGCCTTGGACGTCGCTGTTTTGTCCACCGTGAGGTTGGCCATTTGATGGACCGTCACTGATTCTACCATCCACACTGATCGAAGCGGTAATTGCCTGCGGCAGGCATGGGACTGTTGCATGCCATTGTGCCAAACGCCTGGCAATGGCCATTGATATCTCTGGACGGCGTATATCTTCTGGTCGCGTGACCTCGCCACGGATGAAACGATACAGCATCCCGTTCTCGAATCGCGCAAGGAGGGTCGGGGCAAGTCCATACTGCATGAGAAGCTCATGGTTCTGTGCCTCGCGTTGGCGGTCAATGATCAGGTCGGTGCCATGGCCGTATGCGCGGAGAAGTAGAGCATCTTGGTCGATCGCATCTTGTGAGAGCCCCGGTTTGCGATTGACAGCTTTCAGTAGTGTATTCGTGATTCCATCTGTAAATCTGATGAATTCGACACTTGAACCCGGTAGCTGCCAGCTGGGGCTCAGCGTAAGAACTAACTTGAGAGCAGAGCTTTCGGGGTCATGTGAGTCGTACCTCAGGGGGACGAAGGGCACGTGTCGGTTACAGGGCTCGAAAGCCATCACTTAGGATGTGAAGGCTGCCAATATCTGTGGTATCATATGCGATGGTTGGTGGATGGCTACTCCTTGTGGTAGAAGCGTTCTGTCTCGGTTTACTTCGTGGTGGCGGGCATCGTTGTCACATTAAATCTCGGTGATTTGGTGCTGTATGTTTTTGAAGTCCACATAACACTTCGACATACTTGAATAAGAGATTGGCTAACAGGGGCTCCCAATAACACACATGTGGCTCCTAGTAGGTGCACCGGTCCTATACATATGGGCTCCCCATAGGTGTACGGGCCCGTACAAATAAGAAAAAGTCTTATATAATATGAATTACGGCTTCTGATTGGCCAATCCACCCGTACAAATAAGAAAACCTTACATAATATGAATTACGGCTTCTGATTGGCCAATCCACCCGTACAAATAAAATAATAACGTAAGCATTGTTGAACTTTTGCATCACGATAGAAAAAAAAAAAGACTTTAAATAAAGTATGTGCCCACGTAATACCCTACTACAACGGCTGCCACCTCTCCTGTATATTCTGTAGCCCTGCATCTACACGCTCTATATGTGCCATTACCGTCTGATACTCTGCGCGAGCTTCAGCTGCGATGGCCTCCGCGGCCCGCCCTTGCCTGGTGCGGAGCCTCCGTGTACGGACTGTCGATGTACGGGAGGTTCGTGTACACCGCCGGCGCCGTGTTACAACGCTCTCCGATTAGGAGGTCGGGAGGAGGGTTGGAGGCCATAGCTTTTGGCGATGCTTTTAGCGATGCTTTTAACGATGTTTTTGGCGATGTTATTCAAAAACTTCAACGATGCTTACGTTATTATTTTATTTGTACGTGTGGATTGACCAATCAGAAGCCGTGTTGAGATTATGTAATATTTTTCTTCTTTGTACGGGCCCGTACACCTATTGGGAGCCATACATATGAAATTTCTTACTTAATATAAATAGCGGCTTCTGATTGGCCAATGATCCTGTTATACGCGTGCTTCACGAGAGCGTGTCACTACGTCTCGTTGTAAGGAGAAAGAGATTCGGCAAGTAATCGCCTATCGAGCTTACTCAAGTAGCCAAGTGTGGCCCGAGCTCAATCAGAGTCCCGGCCTTACACGAGGCGAAAAGGAAGGTTTTAACAATGTCGCCCACGCGTCTTAGTGTAACCGTTGACGGAGTTAAGAAAACTCTATAAAACTTTAGAATCCTTTTACTTAAATAAAATATATAAAAATACCTTCGTTGACGGTTATATATTATAAAATAGTCGTTTAAACGAAGGGTTTAAAAAGTTTAAGTTTATTTATTTATTTTTAAATTATACTTATAATTACTTTATTTTAATCTTAAATACTCATTCCTCTTATTCTTTTTTCGTATTTTATTTATAATAGAACTTTATATTATAATCGATTCGTAGTTAAAGGCTACGAATCAAATAACTAGGTTTATATAACGAAACATAGTGTAACTAGTCCTTAACCACACGTTAACACCACGTTAACTAAAAGTCTTTCTCCTTAAATACTAAGACCCCCTTTTTTTGTAAGAAAGAAGGTGTAAAAATTAGTTTTTGTTATAATTTATATTTACTTTTGTTTTTAAAACTAGTACTTTTTATTAAATAATTTATTATAAAGACTTATTTACTTAACACTTATAATAATTAGGGTTGGGAATTAGTTGTATTAAATTTAGTTGTTTTTCTTAGTAACTAAACTTAGGATAACTAAATTTAGTAGGGAGGGTTATTAAAACTAAATTTAGTACAACTAAATTTTTTTTTGGTAACTAAATTCAGTATAATTTATTTTGGTATGATTAATTTTAGTACAACTAAATTTAGTACAACTAAATTTAATTGTTTTAAAAAAACTAAATAGTTATTTATATTTATTTCATTTGATACGTTATAATATTACTTATATTTTAGTATTATTAATAAAGTATAATATTAAACACTTTAAAAGTATATTATATTTAAAAATATAACTAATTCGATATTTATAACGGAAATACGTCTTAAAAACATATTAATTAAAAACGTTATATTTAGTTTTATAAGATATTATATTTTACTTTTTAAATTTTATTTAACGGTAATTATATATAAACTATTTATTTTAATTTATTTACGTTAAATACGTTATTTACAACGAGTTTAACTGTTTACGTTTTAAAAATATAAATAAGTCGAGTTTTAAAATATAAAAAGTAAAATATTCGTTTTAAAACGTATTTGTTTAAAACGTTTATTATATTTTAGAAAAAGTAATTTTTACTTTTTAAATTTTATTTTATAATAATTATACGAAATCGTTTTATTTTAATATATTTACGTTAAGTATGTTATTTATTACTAGTTTAACAGTATACCTTTTGAAAGGAAAATAAAGTTGAGATTTAAAATATAAAAAGTTAGAATTTCGTTCTAAAACGTATTCGTTAAAAACGGAAGGTAAAGAAGGTTCTGTTAAAACCACGGATTTGTCGTTGTTAGTAGGCGTAAAACTAACGTTTAAATCTATTTTATTAGTTTAACGCCGTCCCGGGGAGTCGAAAAAAAGGGAAAAAAAAGATAATAAATACAAAAAGGTTAAAAGAAAAGGTTGAAGATAAAAATAAAAAAACGAATAATAAAAATGTCGTAAATGTTTTATTTATATTAAAAGACTCCGTTGAAATTAGTGAAAAAAGTGATTAAGATTAAACTAATTAATTGAAAAATATATAGAATATTTAGTTAGAGTTTTTCGATAACTAATAAAAAATTTTGTATGTAATAATAGATACTTTTTAATTATTTAAAATTTATTATGTACGTTTTACGTTTTAACGTTATTTTTTATTTTTCAAGGATATACGGTAAAACAAGTAATATATTACGTATTTAACGTAACTAGGTTAAAATAAATTATTTTTATATAATTACCGTTTAATAAAATTTAAGAAGTAAAAGGTTACTTTTTTATAGACGTAATAAACGGTTTAAACGAACACTTAACAAAACAAAAATTTTAATTTTAATATTCATAAACTCAAATTATTTATATATATTAGTACTATTAACTTAATATAATAGTCGGTTAGGTTATTTATTTAACTGAAATATATTAAAATAAAACGTTTTCGTATAATTACCGTAAAATAAAAAGTAAAAAGTAAAAAGTAAAAAACCCTTTAAAAACTGTAATCAGGGTTGTAAAATTAATATGTAGTATTTAATATTAATATGGGTGAATATTAATTGTAATATATTAATATAGTATTTTTTCGTTAAATATTGTATTAATATCAGGGTTGGCAATTAGTCTAGTTAGTCTTAGTCCGGGCCTTGACTAAGACTAACTAGATGACTAGATGACTAGACGTACGTTTAGTTAGTCTTAGTCCGAGCCTTGACTAAGACTAACTAAATGACGAAGAGGACTAATTAGGCTTTAGTCATTTTAGTCCGCGCCTTGACTAAGACTAACTAAGACTAACTAGGAAGACTAGGAAGACTAGACTAAAGGACTAAACGAATATTTAGTAAACAGTAAAAAATAATCGAAAGTAATAGAATTTATTAAAATAATATAGTATTATTAATTGTTTTTAATTAATAATAAATAGAAGATTATAGAAAGTAATAAAATCTTTTAAAATTAAGATTAATAATTAATATAAGATTATTAAAACTAGTAGATTTTATTAAAATTAAAATTAATAAATAATAAATAATAAAAGACTACCGAAATCGGTAGAATCTTTTAGAATTATAATTAGTAAGTAGGAAAAAAGAATCGAAAGTAGTAATATTTATTAAAATAATAGTATTAATAATCGTTTTTAATTAATAATTAATAAAAGACTACCGAAATTAATAAAATCTTTTAAAATTAAGATTAATAATTAATAATTCGAAGATATTTTTTTAAAAATTAACTATATATATCTTTACTTATTCCCTTTTAAAAACTTTTACTTTTTATTAATATAATAATAATAAATATTATTAACTTATTATACTTTATTATTATTACGCTTTATATAACTTTTCTTATTATATTATATTTAAAATGGATTCATTTACTTATTCACCGACGAATTCAAATTTAAATAACGAATTAAATTCATAAAGTACCGAATTAAATACGTAAGAAATCGAATTAATCTCATCTTCACCGTCAATAATCCACACTATTCGTTTTAAAAAGACGAATAATATTAATTATAATACACCGGATTATATGTTTGAGTTATATAACGAATCGAATATTTATATATTTAAATACGGATTATTTAAAAGAACGTTACAGCCTTTTATACACGAAAAAGAGCGTGAAATTTTAGTCGAGTGTAATAAGTAAGTGTTTTTTTACTAATTTTAAAATAATTATTATTATAATTATATTAATAACGGATAAATAGTTGTAACTTTAAAAAGATCGATAAAATTAAAGGTTTTTAATCTTCGAATTATACGAGACATTATAAAAATAAGCACCCGAATATAACTTATAACGAAAAAACCGAAGGTTTACGGTAAATACGTACGATATTAATATTTACTTTATATTAATTATATTTTTATATTACTATTAATATATATTAATTATTTATTAATTATAGATTCGTCTAATGTATCACCCTTACTTATAGGGTTTTTTACACCGAATAAACGAATTCGTTCGAATACGTTAATTGAATTTACCGAAAACGAGGCTTATAATAAGATTTTAAATTTTATTATCGAAAATAACCTCTCTTTTAACGTTTTAAATTTAAAAAACTTTAAAGACTTATTAAATTATTATAATAAGTTAACGCCTACGATAAATCGAAAGAAAATAAAGGATATTCTAACCGATCGATTTAATACGGTTAAAACGAATTTAAATTATTAAATACAATAAAACGTTAATAACTACGGCTTTTTTTCGTTAACTTTCGATATTTAAACTTCGAATTCATAAACGGCCTATTTAAGGTTAATTTTAATTTTTATCGATAATCGATTTA